ATAAATAAATTAAACTTGATTTTTATAAAATTTAACATATTTATTTTTATATTTTGAATAGTATTAAATTATTATAAAATAGGTATTTAAGATTGTACCTAAACATTTAAAAAATGTTTGATAGATAAATAAGTCATACTTAAGATATATATTTTTAAAGAAAGCTAGGTTCAAACCTACTAAATTATAATAAGATCTAGTCTGACCTAACTTATTTTCATCTTTAATTGTAATCCTAGATATAAAAACTTGTAAAAAATAATTATAATATATTTATGTCTATAAAAGTTATACATAAAATTTTTAATACTACAATATATAAATAAACATTGTCCCCACTATCTAAAATTTCTGGATCCGTCACTGCATATATATACAAGCAAATATATGTGTGTGTGTGTAGGAGACTAATCAACTCAAAACATAAAATGTTCCCCAAATGGAACTATAATATAGATCCTAAACATATATATACATAACTAGCATAATCTCAACTAAAAGCATAAAACTCCTAAAGGTCGATCAAAACATATATATAGACCAACTACATCATAAGTAGCCCAAAAAATCAACATCGTCATTGTCTAGCAAGACCTCAAAATTGGGGCACCCTTTCGCTTAATCCTACCCTACTCTCATATAAATATGATCATTGTAATTTAACCACAAAGAAACATGTAAGGATAAACTTAAAAAAAAATATCATAATAAATGCAAAAGTAAAATGTCCTACATCATCAACATCAACTTACAATACAATATATAGCAACTCAACATATTAACTTCATTTGTGAAGGTTACAACTATTCAACACCACAACTTAGACAACATTTTCACATATCAACACATGTCAATTTCATAACTAGTCAACACAATCATGCATTACATCCATGATTCATCATAGTATATGGTCAATACAACATATCAACACATTATGTGTGCACAACGTAGCAACGATATGCATCATCAAGCATTCAACTAAGAGATCTTTTACTATACAAGTGAGTAATCTACGTGACTTGATCCTACCAAATGAACTTAACAACATGATATTTTTAGACTAGCAAAATCAACAACTAATTTGGATATAAATCCACACAACATAACATGGTTTCCCAGATTTTGCCACATAAACTACGAAAGTCTAATATTCCTGTAAAAGTAGACCAACTTGGGTGCGAGTATATCACAATTTTAGTATTCATAACTAAAACTCCTATGAGATTAACTCGTCGACTACCATTCAAATATTACACCCCTTCTAATACTTAGTTAAGAATTTTGACCCCAATTTTGTATTTTACTCAATTTGGTCATTCTATACACATATGGCTCGATCTTACCCTCATATAGATTTATATTGGTCATTTTATATATGTATAGTTCGACCTAACCCCCACATGGATCAAAATTTGGCCAATTATAGATAGTATGGCTTGACCTATCCCTCACACTACATCAATTAAAGTCCTAATGGAGACTCAATACTCCACTTCAAGAGTCAATTTCTTAAGAAGAATTTTCAACAATTGGGTTTGTAAAGTACCATAACACTATATCCTCATAATGAGATATTTAAATTTTAAAACAACACCTTTCTTCTAATCCTAAGTCAATCATCAATATTTGACAACTTTCAAATTTTAATAGTTTAATCATCAATATACATCATCCTAGATCAATGTATAGAGTATTAAAATCATACAAGAACTTCTATCATGTAAGAAATCCAATCACTAATATATGTTCAACACTTAGTCAACAAAGAAACAAGTTTTCATAGAGGCATGTTGTGTTGATTAACTTTGGACTAGATGAGAGGGTGTTTTGGGAAAGTTAGATATCCCATAATAAGGATATTGGTGTGGTGCTCAATGAGCTCAGTTGTTGAAAAATTCTCCTTGAATAGGCATTATCTCTTAAAGTGGGATGTTGAATCTCTTATAGGTCCTTAATTAATGTTGGAATAAAGTATGAAGTCCAAGACTAAAATCTTTAATTGATTATTAGAGAGGTGCATTATATTGCGAGAATAATTAGTAGGTTGAACTCATAGGTAACTTGGTTAATGCATGTCAATATCGTGATAAGTTCATACCCAATCTAAGTTATACCTAATGATAGTATTAAACTTTCTTAATTTAAGTGAGGACATCTAAAAAATTATGTTATAGGAATTGGTATCCCAATAAGTTGTTGATGTAGCAAGTATAAAAAGATCAATACCTTATATATATATATATAGGCAAAGAAAAATAAAAACAAAAAAGTCAACTTGGCACAATAATACTGTTTTTACAAGTAGTAATTTATAGTTAAATTAAAGTATTGGGTAAAACTAAATCAATTTCAATAAAGTCTTAATCAGTAAAATATTGTTTAAGGTTTGAAGGCAGAAAATTAAAAGACTGAATTTTGTGAAGAACAATAAAAAAAATAATTTAGGATTTAAATAATCAAAGTAATGTTTGTTGTGATTTAATATTAGGGATTAATTTCATTAACTTTTTTTTATTTACTAACTATCAAAAATTAAATTCTTAATTTTTTACTAATTTAATAATCAATAATTGTATTTGTCTTAATTCTTTAAGTGAGAAATTTTAAAATTTTTAATTAAAATTTCAATTCTTTAACAAAATTCTTCGACAGTGTTTCATCTACTCATTCTCTTATAACTTAAACAAAAAACATTAAGAAAACCTAACAAATAAAATTAACTACGTATAAATTTATTTACTTGTAAATTATGAATTGCTTAAAATAATTTTAAAATATAATACTTAATAATCACGTAAATAAGAAATTTGGGTCAACCCACTTTTGTGTCATTCAGTAGTCGGGTGATGAAATGACGTTTAAATAAGATTTCCAATGATCTGAACACTATTTTAACGCCATTCTCCTTTCGATGCTTCACACTTCACACTTCACCACTCTTTTGCATGCCCTTCTCCAAAACAAAAATCTAAAGCCCATCATGAGTGGGCCTTTGTCTTTCAATACAAAAAAGAAAAAAAAAATAAACAAAAAGGTAAGGATATCTTTTTTATCTGAAACATGTTTGGAATTGGATACGGTTTAGAATGTTTTTTTAAAGTTTTTCTATTGAAAATAAAAAATATTTTTTAGTAGATAAATTCTTTAAAAAAATATTTAGATTTGTATCTCTATATTTAAGTTAAGAATTGTAACTCTATATTCTTTAAAAAATATATATATATTTTGAGTGTCGTTGATCATTTTACGTGAATATTATTTTGGGGATACATACCCCGCGAATTGTAATTGTAAATGTTAATAATAGTTAAGTTTTGCTTTGGGCCTTAGGCCCTCCTTTACACACACAAAAATAAAAAAGTAACCTAAACTAGAAAAGATGAACTATGCTTCAAATTTCCATTAGAAAAAAGTACTTATATTTAATATCCAATCACCCGTACTTCCAATAAGATTATTTCATGTAAAATATAGCTATTGGAAATCAAAAACAAAAAACTATATAGAATAAAACAATCGTGTAATTAAGTTTTATAATTTAATTGATGGCGCGCAAGTATATTTATATCATTGTATGTTACAATGATGCTGATGCCTAAAGCTTGATTCCCTACCAAGTATGTATGTAATAATAATAATAATAATAATAATAATAAAGTATTTTATCAATGACGGTTGCAACATAAAGCAGGCCTTAATTTGAAGTTTGTTGAAGTTAAATCAGACGAAAATCGAAGCTTCGTAATCTGGTCCTTCATTAAATTAAAAACTACTAGCCTCCGTAAAATTGAAAGGCTTAAAGTATCATTCTATTCAATTCCAAAGTGTCTGTCTTTCGAAATGATTTTTCTATATAAAAAAATGTTGGTCCGAGCAACCCGGTCTTTCTTGGGTGCATAACATCTCTAATCTTATTAACAATTAAGTTAATCATAACATTAGCATTTGTCTCTTCTTTTTAGAAATTTATATACTCTATTTTACTTTTATTTTTAATCAATATCACAATAAAAAAAATTTAGTATATTCATCTTACGTCGATAAGTAAATATTTAGAAGGTAAAATTTAGTGAACTAGATATTTGTAATAAGTTGATAACAACTCAATAGTAAATGACTTAATAATCTTAAGAATAATTACTAGAATAAATTTTAATACTATTTTGGAACATGAGACTAGACTACTTTCATCGTATAAAATGTGAGAATTGTTTAAACTTATAAAATCTATTTTGAGATTATCGTTCTGATAGTCCCTATAACAAAAGTTAAATTAGATTCTAATATTATTTTAAAACATAATTTTGAGTCTAATTCAATGGTTTGTAAAGTGGGATTTGGTCACTTATATAATCTATATAGTAAATGGAGATCTCCATCACTTCTTGCTTGTTTTTCTTTCCAGGAAGCATCCTACAGTTTCTTATGCACATGGTGTGCATAACAGTACGTGCCAGTCTCTTGATTGTATTACAATTACAATTACAATGATTATTACAAACCTTTCAGAACACGAAAAGGAAATAATAGTCTATGGTGTTTTTTGTCACAACTTGCCATTTTTCCTATGGTTATTAGCACTAAAGCGAATTCCAAGGATTGTTGCTCGGAGAAATGGCTGGGGCTTATCACGTAGTGCGCGTGCTCTTTGCTGCATAATCAGCTGATGCTGTCAAATGGCCTATCAGTTGACTGCCACCAATATGAATATTATGGGAAGAACATAGACACCAATATGGTCTCTCTTTTTTGTATGGTTCGGATCAACAAAGGCACATCAAATCTAGCAAAACGTGTTTGGTTGTTTAATGAATTCTGAATATCATCACTAAAGGGATTCTTCTTTTGGCTTATACTCAAGAATTAGATTAAAGAGGAAAGACATATATAGTTTAATTATATGAAAGAGTACAATGTAACTGTCAACAAGCGGCAGTTTTCTCGTATGATTTTTTGATTGGTAAGAATTACAATAACAAACAATAAAATGTGAATTTAGAATTTTGTGGTCACTCGCCAAAATCATATCATATATGAAATCTGATACGTAGAATATGATATCTGTACAGGATTTCAGTAACTTTAGTCCTTTAATAGTCGAAGGCTACACAAGGATAAACAAAATTGAAGGTGAAATCTGAAACTAAACATCATGAACAGAGTTTTGGCAAGTATATAGCATTGCTCATAATATGAGCCCCTGACTTCTTTACACTGGCCAGCTGGGTCCCACTTTGCATTCCTTCCAAATCTCTACTAAGCTCCTCAGCATCATAGCTTCTCTTTTCAACATCCTCTTTCACTTCCATGTTCTTGAAGCTTTTCCGAAACACGGAGTCAAAAAAGTTTTTCAAATGATCGTTTTCCTGGAGCAAGGTTTTCATTCGGCATTGTCTAGTAACATAAGCTCTTGGTTTTGCCTCTAAAGGAAATACCAAGTTTCGAGTAAGATGTCTCAAAAGTTCTGCTGACAGCTTCTCGTGATTCAGTGTACAACAGATACTTATCTTTTCTTTTTCACTTAATCCTGCATGGACCTATGAATCTATATCAATGACTGAAGGAGACTACATAAAAACACTAGAAATTGATTATAAAAAAACGTAGCAACATCAATCAACTATTATTAGAAGCTTCAAGATTTCTAAATTTTAAAATTGCATACAAATATTGCAGTCTTGCACGCTAGTAGAATGATAGAACAATACAAAGTGGTGGCTTACCTTTAAATACATGTCCATAGCTAGGTAAAATTGATCATGAGATTCCCTTGCAGTATCTGGGAGCACTGTAATCAATGCTTCGAACTCACAAGGTTTGAGATGCGGATCTGGAGCAACTTCCACAAGGAACAAATCCATCATTTTCGCCACTCTCTTAAGTTGATTCGAAGTTAACTCAAAACTGCCTCCAAAGAAAAATATGTGTATGAGCCTTAGGACAAAATCAACATCATATACAGTGTCTCTCCCGTGTGGAGATGGAAGAAGTAGATAATCAACTGTTGTTTGATCCAGCAAAGGACCTATAAGACTTTCTATCTTGTTTATGCAACTTCTGCTCATTTTCAAAGTAACAGCAATTCGATTAAGATTGAATAAATCCTTGCAAGAAATTGACCTCAAATCTAGCAGAAAAAGAAGATCAATTACAACCTTAGTAGTCTGAACCTTCTCAACTTGTGCAGCACCAAGACAAGTTGAGTTGTGATAGCAGAACAGAAACCTAGAGATCACACCATGGTCAAAATCATAAGATAACATTGTCCTTATGACCTTGTCCAACAAATCAATCTTCAAGAAAAGAAGATGTTCAAACCACCATGTAGCCCCAGAGCAGTTATTTCTCCAACTGTTATTACTGCTGGTGTCACAAGAAAACTGGAAGCTGGATCTGTTGGAGGAACATGTGTTTGGGCTTGTAATGCCTGGTGAAGCTAGCCTCTCTATCAAGTGATCCACAATTCTGTCCAGAATTGCCAAATAACCTTTGAAAGAGAATAAGCCTTGACACTGTTTCAATGCTTCAAGGAGCTCAGACCAAGTCCAGAACCGAATCCCTTCAAGAAATTTTTCAATGTGGGGTTTCAAGTTGGGTGTTCCAGGACCATCATCACATTCCATCTCCAAGACATTAACAGCAGAACATAGCATGGCCACGTTGGATGGAGTTATCTCCATACTGCTATTGTAGCAAAGCCGCACTATGAGCTCAAAAGCATGCGCACCCCCTCCAAAGTCACAAAATATAACTTTCACTTCCACATTTATGTCCAAGAGATTACCAAAATAAGTTGCTAGATTTACGGCACAAAGGTGAAAGAATATTCTGCATAGTATATATGAAGGTTAGATGGTTTAATGAAGTATTGAAAAATATTTGATTTCTTTACCAAAGAAAGTAAACTAGTGCAATTATGAAAGGGGAAATTTCTTATATCTCCAATTGATAGTCAAGCATTAATTCTCTTCTGAGACGTAAAAATCACAAAAGTTTTTTCTTTTCTAATAAAGTTTTTTCTACACGCATGATTAAGAAATCACACATCTGTCAACATGCTTAAGGCACTCAGTTATCTGCCAACTATGTTGGACCTTCTTTGGTTATGAAAGGCACAAATAACACATTCAAATTTCACAAAAGCTAAGAAGAGGATAAGATACATCATACATCAAGGAATTAAATAGTAGATATACCCTCATGTGAATAAATGTGATGATACAAGGAAACCTCAACCAGAAGGCACTTGAGATAATAAATCATGAGGGTCGTGTTTGAAAGAAGGAAAAGCCAAAGGCCATGCAATTCGTGCATTTCATAATGACATGAAGGGTACAGCAAGCTGGTCCACATGCCTGCCAAACTTTTATGGTGTAATTGAATGTTAAGTGTTCTACTTACCATGCTGTTGGGAATAAAGAACATGCGCATGGTAGAAAAAAATAGATTAAAATAAAAGAGTTTCATGTCACCTTGTTTATGATGAAAGTTTCTTCGCCATTGATGTTCACTTAAAGGTCACCGCAAGCTCCCATTGTTCCAACATTAATAAGTATATATGTCAAAGAAGCATTTGAGGAGTATAGAAAGTTTGTTCGTGGGGCATGTCTGTAAATGACCAATCAGAAAAGGGAGGTTCGTGGGAACATAAATAAGGAAAGGAAAGGATCGTCAGTTACAAGAAAAAGAGAAGAATGATGTGAATTGAGAAAAGTTTTTGCTTTGTCAACAAAGGGAGCATGAAATGGTTACTTGTTGGACTTGAAACATATATGTTGGTAACTTTAGGGAAGAAAATTGGACGAATATACGAAATTCAAAATATTGGAAGTCAACACCTAAGTAGGACAAAATAAATTTTCATATAAAATATTTTTAAAATGTTCAATTAATTCTATATAAAAAATAAAGTTAATTTAATATCCAACTCTATTTTAAAACTAAAGTTAAATTAAGGAACTTATCAAAGTGCTTTACTTATTATAACAAAGTTTTGTTTATATGGTTAGGTAGTACTAGCTAATAAGCTGGTCGAAAATTGAAAAATTATCTAAAAGTTGAAAAAATAATTTTAATGTAGATCAGTTAAACTAACATATTAAATTAAAAGTCTTTTGATAAAATTAGTTGACGAATGTAAATGATATAAAAGGACTTACTATATTATTATTTTTTGTGTTTCTTTTTACATAAAAAAAATATACTTTTATGTAATGATAAATAGTGTAAATATTTTAATAAAGATGAATTGAAATGAATAGTAAATATATAATAATTAAATTAAATAGTATAATAGGAAAGGAGAAATGTAATACTAGCTAATAAGTAGTAAAAGATTTGACGATAAATTTTTACTTTTTTCACAAGTGTGAGTTTGAATCTTCTTATATCACTTTTCTTATTTGATAGACAATCCTTTTTATAGAGGGATTCTCTGACGATTAGAAATAAGTTAAATAGATATAGTAATGTCGGATAGTTCTACCATACCCAAAAATTAATAATAATAAATTAAAATTTGATGCTCAAAGACTAGTTTGAGTATCAGGTGAAAAATGTTATAAACTAATTAATATATTTATTATAAATAAATAAAAAAGTTATTTTAATCAAATAAATTTATAAATTAATTAAATAAACTACAACTTAACTAAAATGACTTCAATTTTATTTTTTTTAATCTCTTTTGCATGGTTTAAAAGCATAATTTATTTTAATAGTGGGATTGGAGTAGACACATAAAGATTTAAATTTTATCTGTCGTTGTTATAATTTTTTATTGATCAAAAAATATTATTTCTAGTGCGGTTACATGGTACTTTATCTTAATAAATAATTTGACACATACAGTGTAAAATTTGGATTACATTTGGATTTCAATTGAGAGAGTTCAAAAGTATTTTTACTTCGGAAACAACATCTTTTTCCTTCTTCAGTTATGCATTGATAGTGAGAAATTTATATTAAATACTATTATGCATAAAATAATAACTTAAATGCATATTTTCCTTGTAGGGCATCACATTCGAATAAAAGAATGAAGACCCAACGGTAGAAACAGAGAATTCAATTGTGAGAATGCGCATGCATTGATCATGGTAATTAAAGTGATCCATAATTCAAAGTGACCAATGTATCTATCTCTTTTGATTTTGACTCAATTAGGCACTTCCCTTTTTCCGTTACTCATGCCACCAATTTTTTGGTTCACCAATTCAGTGGTCAATGTTTAGGAATGGGAAATCAACACGATTTTCCGTTTAGGTGAAACATCGATCCACTTGGTTCACTGTTTTGGAAAAAAAAGAAAAAAAAAACATAACTTAATGGTCAATTTTATAGGTAATATCTTAATAAATATTTGAATTTCATCATAAATAATAATAACCAAACTTGTGCCTTAAAATACTTGATTCCATTGTCTTTCCCATCACGCTATTGCAATCACACCTACCACTGAGTATCATCATTGCGACCACCATGTTGATTGTTGAGGCAGCCATTAATAGTGCTATGACGTGAACACAACCCATAACATTTATTTATGGATCATCTTAAGATTCAAGAATTTCTTTATTTTCGGTCAATTCATGCATATGATTTGGAATATAATAATAAATACAAGGATTTAGTATTGTTAACTGAATTGGAAAGACCATTCTATTCCATTTTGACATGTTAATAGTATGCTAATGCGTCTAAATCGGATAAATTAATAGATACTAAATAGAAAATGTTTATATAAGAAAAAAGTCCACAGTATGAAAGGTAAACATATAAACGAGAATTAGATTGGAGAATAATAAAAATCAAGTTTGGACTTTGGACTAAGGCATTTTGTGATTTATTAAAGTTAAAAATTGAAGAAGAAAAAAGTTTGGATTCAACAATAAGTGAAGAATGTTAAGAATTATTTTCTAATACACTCTTTTAACACATTTTTTCAATTAGTTTAAATTTATTGAAAAAAGATATAAAAAAATTATTAAATTTATGCTCTATTTAATAATTTATAATTTTTGATAAATTTTAATGAATAAAGAAGAATGTGTTAAAAAGAGTGTGTTAGAGATTAAAATGAGTCATGTTAACACTCCTCAAATAATTAAATGACTTTTTTTAATAAAAACTAGAAAGAAAGCATCCAACTCCATTGGCTGCTACACGAATAATCATGTTTCTAAGATCAGAATAATGGATCGATCTTAATTGTCTTCGCTTTATGTTTCTAATTTAAAAATGCTTTCTTTTCTTGTTAACTTTTCATTTTGTTAAAATACTTTTTTAGTTGGAATAATATATAAAGAGAAGAAGAAAAAAAAAATATAGAGACAGAAGTGTCTTTTTTTCCTCTAGTTATGTATAGCATGTATTCATTTCCTCTTTCATCCCACTTCTACATTTGTTCTAGTGCATGATCAACCATAAATTATTAAGGTTTGCTATTTGAGTCAAATTTTATATAGTTTAATGAATTAATTAAATAAAATAATTTATTTATAATAATCTAATACATCATGTTAAAACACACATCTTTTGCATGATCATACTTCAAAAGATAAACATTGTGCTAAATTAAGCACAACCATATGGTTATCACTAGATTTAGTTTAGCAGTGCAATGTTTTAGGACCCATACGTAGAAGAGAACCAAAAAAGTTATTAAAAAATGATATAGTTGTGAAATAATTTTTTTTTACCAATTTATGTTATTTTTATAAATAAATATAAATCATCGTCTCTTAAAACGTCTCATTCTTTATATTTAAATAAAAATGTGAAGTGATCATGAAATATTACTACTAATGTAAGTAATAATTATTACTTCCTCTCATAAATATTAAAGAACTTATTAATTATTTTGGTTAATTTTATTAATTTCATAAAATAAAATTATGAAGTACCAATAAAATTGTCATATAAGAGAAATATAGATATTAATTCATATCAAAGTTTATACGCCTTTAAAAATAAAATTGACAAATAACAATTGAAGAGTTCAAGAACTAAGAGAAAGCACATTTATTTTTCAAATTCTTCTCTCATTATTTAATAATAAAAAACACATATTTTCATAACTTTTAATAAAAAAAAATTTTAAAAAATTTAAAAGTATCTTATAGAAAAGATTATCATTGTTTTTTCTAAATTGTGTCTTATAATTAAAACTAGAAGTAATAATTGTTGTTTTTTTATGTATTAAAATCATAAATTCATGTAAATAAGAATAATATTTTATTGATAATACTAATAAAGTTTATATATTAATAATTGACTAAATTATATTTTTAGTCTTTTTATTTTACTTTTTAGATTTATTTTAGTCATTTATCTATTAAAATGTTTATTTCGATTCTTTATGTAACGACCCGCCATGGTCTCTACACTTAGTGGAATCGCACTACTACTAGTGAACTAAGGAAAATATTAAATTGGATAACTCATACATACAGGTATAGATAAGAATAAAAATAACCAAATTCTTTAAATACAAAATAAAATGCCATATATGTACAGTCATCCCAAAAATAATATTTCCTAGTGCCGGTCAAACAGACAAAAATCGCTACCCAAAATGGTAACCCTAACACGAGGATCAAACTCCCCGTCTCGCAGCGGTCACCTCGACTCCAAGCTAGCCCTGATCTGCTCCCATACCAAGTATGATCATCGCAGTTCCACCACATGGAAACAGAAGGGTAAGCTAGAATTCACAAATGAATCATAATAATCTATATTACACAATCGTATTCATAGAGTCACACCATACACTCTATCCAATACTACTCATGCATAAAATACAATCCACCAATCATGAAGTCAAACACCACACTTCATCATATTAATAATCATACAATAAATGCATCTCATGACAGATATCAATGCATATCAATCATCTAATGCGTCGTCACGCATACACCTAGGAGATCTCCACAACAATAGAGCTGTATAAGTGACATTCCATCCTACCGAAACCACCCCAACCGTTTTCACGCCCAATGCGCCCGCTC